AAAAAAAAAAAAAAAAAAAAACACACAATAGAAATAATACAAAAGGGCCAGGTATAGTGGCTCATGCCTATAATTCTAGCACTCTGGGAGGCTAAGGCCCATGGATTGCTTGAGATCAAGAGTTCGAGAGCATTAATGTACACAGCTATGATTAAAAAAAAAAAAAAAGCCGGGAGTGGTGGGTGCCTACAGTCCCAGCTACTCAGGAGTCTGAGGCAAGAGAAACACTTGAGCCCAAGAATTTGAGGTTGCTGTGAGCTATGATACTTTGGCACTCTACCTAAGGTGACAGAGTGAGTCTCTGTCTCAAAAAAATAAAAATAAAAATACAGTATAACAATTATTTACATAGCAGTCACACTGTATCTAGGGATGACTTAAAGTATAAGAAAACCTCTGTAAGTTGACAATCCAAGGGACTGTAACAAAATTGTCAACAGATGGAGTGGTTAATATAAGGAAGTAGGCTTACTATATTGATACATACATGTGATACATGTCTGCCTATGAAAATTAGGTCAAATTAAGGAGGTGGTGAATAAGGGGAGGTGGTCAACTATGGAGGTTCCACTGTATATGGGAGAATAAGTGTAGGTTACGTGCAACTACTACCCCATTTTATATCAGAGACTTGGGCATCTGTGGATTTTGGTATGGGGGTGGTGGTAGAGTACATATCCTGAAACCAATCCCCTGTGGACACAAAGAGACAACTGTACATTCACAAGAGGCTTTCTACATACAGGTGAACAAAACCTGGGAATTAGATCATTTCTCCCATGATTCTAAACTGGTGAAGCACTATTGCAAACCGTCTTCTATGCTGGGATATATATACTTGGTTTTTCAACTTCAGATCAGCTTTAACTCTGGAGTCCTCACAGCCACAATTTTTCCATTTCCTAAACATTTTCTGCATATCTATAAGATGTACATATCTATAATATGTAAGACTGAGGGGAAAAAAAGATAAGCATGATTCTGACCTTCACACAAACCATTATAGTACAAAGCAGAATGTTCTAAGGAGGTTTCAACACAAGTGCTAGAGGAGCCCTAAGAGGTAACAAAAGGGCCAATAAGGGAGCTTCTAGGAGAGGCCTCCCTGGAGCTGGGGCATTGAGAATAGAGAGGACCACTACAGAAGAGGGCTATCTGCCTTGGGCAAGCTTCTTCTCAACTAGAGGTTAAGTAAGATTCTCTAAGCCTTTTTCGTTCTGAAAAGCAGAAACACTGCATATTTTCCTAATATGTTTCCCACCCCTACTTTCCATCACCATAATTTGGGCACTCTTATCTCCTGCCTAGACTAGCTCCACAAGCCCCATGTAGTTTCTCTAGTTCCAATTTCTCCCTTTTCCAATACACACAACAGACCAAGGTCAGCACAGTATTGCAAAAGTATGCTTCTGATCATTCCCTCCTGCCCTTCACTTACTGTGAGTGAACCCCTGATAGCATTCCAGAGCCTTTGACCACATACTCTAACCTACTTTTCCAGTCTGATTTCCCACTAATTTTTTTTAGTATTGCTTTCCTCTATTTCAGCCTATTTGGCCCACGAATGTTCCCCAAGCACAGACCATGACTCTTTATCTTCACCTCTTTGCTTCCTCACCATATCAACTTTATTGGTCAAATTTTTACTCACCCTTTAAGATGCACAAACCTCTCCGATATCCCAAAGTTCAACAAGGTTTTTTTCTTTTTCTTTTTTTTTTAGAGAGACAGAGTCTCACTTTATTGCCCTTGGTAAGGTGCTGTAGCGTCACAGCTCACAGCAACCCCCAATTCCTGGGCTTAGGCAATTCTCTTGCCTCAGCCTCCCAAGTAGCTGGACCACAGGCGCCCGCCACAATGCCGGGCTATTTCTGTTTTGTTCTAATTTGGCCAGGGCTGGGTTTGAACCTGTCACCCTCAGTATATGGGCCGGTGCCCTACCCACTGAGCCACAGGCGCCGCCCCTTAAATAATGTTTTTTCCTTTGACAACTCTTAGTACTTCTTCATTCTTATCTCATAGTATTATTTGGGTTGCAGTTTCTGTCCTACCTCCCAACTCAATTTTAAGCCCCCCAAGGACAGGGATTCTTATGTTCTTTCTAGTATCTTTGTATTCCTAAAGGACCTGGCAATTTAACTGTTAAAATGAACCATGCAAACAATTCCAGCTGCCTCTGCTATCTTCTTATGGCCTTTAGATTCGGATATTCTAATAATAACTCAATCACTCAGGTTCAAAACCTCCCTTTCTGTTTGCTTCCCTTCTCTCTCTCTTTTTTGACAGTCTCATTATGTCTCTCCCTTGGTAGAGTACTATGGTGTCACAGCTCAAGCTCACGGCAACCTCAAACTCTTGGGCTTACGTGATTCTCTTGCCTCAACCTCGCAAGTAGCTAGGATGACAGGTGCCTGCCACAACGCCTGGCTTTTTTTTTTTTTTTTTTGGAGTTGTCATTGTTGTTTTGGCTGGCTGGGGCCAGGTTCCAACCCACCAGCCCTGATGTATGTGGCCAGCTTCCTACCCACTGAGCCATGGGTGCTGCTGATTCCCTTCTCCTTATATGCATGCTCTCCAAGTACCAGAAGTAATTCTTTGCTTACATTTTTTTTTTTGATCTAATACCATTTAGTCCAGCTTTCTATCCTCCACTCTTCAGATTAATCTTCCTACAACTCTGTAGCTCTGCAATCAATACCTTCCAGTGCCTGGTCCTAATTTCCCTTCAAGCTTCACTTCCCAGCAACTCCGCCCACACCATGAACCTTCTCCATTCAGCAAAAGGAGTCTAATCAGTATTTCCTACATACCTCCTGTATTTTGACTCAATGCCTGAAATTAACTCTATTCCTGCTTCTTCAAATCCTACTTACTTCAAAACTAAGCTAAGATGGCGCTTGCCTCTTATTGCTGTTCAAGAACCCTCAAATAGGTCTAACAGTAAGAGCTGACATTTATTCAGTGTTTTACAGTATCAAGTACTATATGAAGCATTCACTTGACCACACAATTATCTTAGGAAGCCATTATCATCTAACTTAATGATGAAGGAACTGAGGTTTCCTGACATTACATAACCTACCCAAGGCTCCACAGCAAGTAAATGGTAGAGCCAGGATTTGAAATTAAGTCCATGACTCCTCAGTTCAAGTTCTTTAGCCATTATACCAAATTTATCTTGTACCCAACATGTGGAGTAAGAAGGGGCTTCTATGTACATACGGATTTTTTCTAAAATGAAGGCCTATGAAGAATGACCAGCCTAGAAAGGGCCTCATCTACCATCCGCTCTTTTCACCAGAGGGTTATTATGTGACTGAAGCCTTTCCAGGAAAAGGGAGGAGACACAGCAGGAGATATAAGGGGAGACTATCTATAACTGGAGTCCCCAATCCTTGTGCCACAGACTGGTAGTCTATGGCCTGTTGTGAACTGGGCCGCAGAACAGGACGAAAGCAGTGGGCTAAGGACTAAAGCTTCATCTTGCAGTTACATCTGCTTGCCATCAATCACATCACCACCTGAGCTTTGCCTCCTGACACATCAGTGGCGGCATTAGATTCTCATAGGAGTAGGAACCCTTCTATAACCTGTGTATGTGAGGAATCTAGGTTGCCTTTTTTTTTGAGTCAGAGTCTCAAGCTGCCACCCTGGGTAGAGTCCCATAGCATCATAGTTCACAGCAACCTCCAGCTCAGGCTCAAGTGATCTTCTTGCCTCAGTTTTTCTATTTTTAGTAGAGATGGGGTCTTGCTTTTGCTCAGGCTGGTCTTGAACTCACGAACTCAAGCAATCCACCCACCTCAGCCTCCCAGAGTGCTAGGATTATAGGTGTGAGTGAGCCACTGCACCCAGCCTAGGTTGTCCACTCTTTATGAGAATCTAATGCCTGATGATTTGAGGTGGAGCTGAGATGGTAATATTAGTGTTGGAAACAGTTGCAAATACAGATTATCATTAGCAGAGAGGTTTGACTGCACAGAGACCATAACAAACAATTGCTTTCAGATTTATGTCATACCCTCCTCAACCCTGGTCCACGAAAAAATTATTTTCCATTAAACTGGTCCCTGGTGTCAAAAAGGTTGGAGATGCTGGTCTGTAACATTACTAGGTAGATCCTTCAAACAGGATAACCAACCAGAACTAGTATGATAGCTAGCCTAGCCATCAGGAACCTCTACTTAACATGAAAATTTTATCCTGTCTCAGCTATGGAACAGGGGACTCTCTGGGTCAGTGACAATCAACAGAAAGGGACTTTTAGGAGAAGTGTGCCCAAAAGGCCAAAGACAAGGGCATGGTCACATTCCCTCTGCCTTCCACTGGGACAGGTCCCCTTCCCTACCCTCAGTATTTTTCTGCTCTTACTGTGGGCCAGAGAAGAGCCACAATAGCAACAGCAAAAGGACTGGGTTTTACTTTAAGTACTCAGATAATCTGAGCACACAATCTTCTCTCCTCCCTCTAAAGGCCCTAATAATCTCCCTGAAGCTTTCACTATGTAATTTCTCATGATGTTTCTGTAATTTGGTTTTTCTTTTTTTTTCTTTCTTTCTTTTTTTTGGAGACAGAGTCTCATTACGTTGCCCTCGGTAGAGTGCTATGGTATCATAGCTCACATCAACCTTCAACTCTTGGGCTCTTGCCTCAGCCTCCCAAGTAGCTGGGACTACAGAGGCTCACCACAATGCCCAGCTATTTTTTTTAGTTGTAGTTGTCATTGTTGTTTGGCAGGCCCGGGCTGGGCTCGAACCTGATAGCTCCACTGGCGCCCTAGCCTCTGAGCTACAGGTGTCAAGCCTGTAATTTGGTTTTTCTTTCCTTCTTCCTCAAGTAAGCTATTGTTAAAGGTGTGCTTTTTGTATTTGTTAGACCACTTAGCATGATTCCTTGCAAGCATTAGTTTTTAAAAATTGACTAAATTTACACCGTTACTGGTTTTTTGTCCATTCATTCTGTACTCAATTTTGTCCTCAAATTTGTTCCACCAGCTACTTGAAAGAGCTTCACGTTTAGTGTTAAAGCTGCCCCACCACTTACCAGTTGATGACCTTGTGGGCAAGTTAACCTATGTATCAGTTTCCTCATTTGTATAATGGGAATAAAAAACGATATTTACCTTACAGAGTTGTTGCTAGTAGTAAATGGCTTAACACATATAAGGCAATTGAAATAGTGGCATTAAGTTAGCACTAGAGAAATGTTTGAATTTTTTCCAATAATCTTAAGAGATGTACCTATACATTCCAATATTCAGCCTGTTTATAAGATTATAAACAATGGGAGAAATTCTGTAACAGTGAGAGCAGCACAGGCCACCATAACTGAATTCTAGCTTCCACAAATAAACTATGTATTCTTAGTGAGTTATTTACCTTCTCTGAGACTCAGTATTCTTATCAGGCAAGGGGTTGGGGGCAGGTTCTAAACAGTAGGAAACTACCTCTGGGGTCTGACATACCATCAACTTAAGAAAAGATTAGTCCTAGCATCCATGGATACCCTCAATTCTCACCAAGGATAAATGTAAATGATTTTCTTAGAGATAGGGCTTGAAGTTACAAGTTCAGTATATTTCAAAGGTTGTTTTCTATAGCCCAGTATTTTTTTTTCCAGCCCAGCATTTTTTCCAGGGCATGGTCTTGAAAATTTAAATAAACTGCCTCTCTATTCCCATTTTTTAACAGAGCTAGAAAATATTTTAATACAAAAAAGAAAAAAAACTATCTCAAAAGGCAGCTAGCTACCCTCCAAATATTGGTACTACCACAGAATGAAAAGGTAAGATTTAACATACCATTACTCTGTATTTAGATGCAATATAAAACAGAAAAAGTTTAAATCCTTAGATCAAATAGTATCAGCAAAAGGCTACAGTGTTAAGTAACTATCTTCCCTGTTGGTATCCTAAGATTGGTGGAAACTGCCTAAAGTAATGAACAAGAGTCTTGCATAATAATTCAGAGAGGATACCAACCTGGAGAAACATTGTGGGGCAAATCTTCATTATGGTTCTCTATGTAATAAAGCTATTTCTCCACACCTGGCCAGCATACACAGTAACAGAGCTTTGTTGGATGTGGTTACAATGAATTCTCCACAATTCAATTCAACAAGTATTTATTGACCAACCTCCAATCCGCCTAGCACTGGCCTGTACAATAAATGCTTTCTTTGGTCCCAGGCCATGTAACAGCCACTCTCCATAATGAAAGTATCTTATTGTGTATTGGAGGCACTGCAGGAAAAGGAGGGAGGAAGGGGGAAGAGTCAGGCTAAACTGCAGTTGAATTTTTCAATTACACCGACTAAATCATTTCCAAGTTGAAAGGGGCTTTGGGAAAAATCTAGTTAATTTTATCGATGACAAAACTGAAAGTTGGTGAAGTGTCTTGTCTTATCCAAGGTCACTCTGCTAATCAATCTCCTAATGGCCCAGTGCAATTTCTACAAATTTCCTTCACTCCTCACCCACTCCAAGTCAAGCAGAGTAACTACTCAGAACTGAAAAATCCACCTTATCACCCGGATAGCCCATTTTAAAATGGCCTTGAAAACATTCATAAAGCTGAAAGAGAGTGAGGTGTACATAATCTCTACTAGATCTGGTTCACTTCTTTATCCACTATGACCAGGCTTCAAGTACTCTTCAGTCACTGCTCAGTGGTGGGAGAGAGGTTAGGAAAAGCAGGTGAATCTGGAAACGTTTGCAACACCTCAAAATGTGTCCACCTCTCGGCCTTCCGCTTTTTCACCTCCAGGTCCTCAAGGACCCAGAAAAAACCTCTCACCACAATCAATGCAAATGGCGACGACTGGAGAGCAAAAAAAAAAATCAAAGAGGCATCAGTTCGCTCGCGACCCCTTTCTCGGAAACGTCAAACCGCGATGACGACACTGCAGGCGACGGCTTCTCCCTAGGTCTCCGAACACCCCAGGCCACTGTAACCCTCGCCCCCTCCCCGCCTGGACCTGGGGTGGGGCAGGGACGTCTCTCCGAGAGACAACGTTTCCTAGGGTCCGGTCCTGGGCAAGGACACCGACACTCTTCGCACTCCTGTGGGACCGCTTGAAGGGGGGCCCCGGGGCCACAGCTGCAGCTCCCACCCTCGCGCGCACACCCCTGTGGCGCCGCCCGCCCACTCCAGAAGCCGGCCCCAAGTCTCACCGTGAGCCCCGGGAGCGACCTGGGGGCGCTGGGCGAGAAAGGGGAGCTGACTCTGGGGCTCAGGCCGGCCGAAGGGCACCGCACACCGACCTAGGCCCTCCGACGCCTCGACACAGACACAATGACTCACAAAGGCCGGAAGTATGTCAGCATCTCGCCTTCCGGGACTGCGCTGCACTTCAGGGTCCTCTCTAGGAGCACAGGAGGACTTTGCCTCTCGGTTACCGAGTCACAGGGCCGGGGCCCCTGCCCTTGGGCGGTCAGTCCTTCGGCTTTGAGGTTCCAGCCCTTGTCCGCTCCCAGACGAGGGGGTGGAGGAATTCACACTTTCTCTGACACAAGCAGACTCTTAAGCTCAGACACTAGTCCATGTGAGAATTCGGTTTCTCCTGTCCTTGCCATCTCGGGCTGTTCTAGTAGTAATTACAGTCATTATCAAGCAATAATAATACTTAGTAATTGTATGTCTGTGACAGAAGAACTGAGACAAGGGTGTAGGTGAGGAAGCTAGGGATAGCTGATTTCACAAAGCTGCCATGGTGCCCTGGAGATGTACGCCCCCAAACGAGTGGGTGGTATTTTCAAATACTTGGCCTGAGCTCAAGGGACGGCTTTTCACAAGCAAGCTAGTTTAGAAGGTTGTGTGTTTTGCTCACGTGGCACATGCTATTATAGCAGTTTAAACGGAGTTGTTAGAGTAATAACAGACACTTTTGCCTTCCAGGTGCTTTCACAGCCTACCACAATTACAGCTTTCACCGTTGCCTTGCAGAGTAAGGCAGGAATAAGGATCCTACTTGTGCAAGGGTGGCCACAGGCTTTAATGGTTGTGACTTTCCTCTACTACCTCAAGTCCATGGGAGAGACTGAAGTGGTAGCTTGGTTGCATGACTTCTACTGCTTGGGAGATTTATTTTTAAAAAATGCTTGAAATTGGCTCAGCACCTGTGGCTCACGTGGCTAAGGCGCCAGCCACATACACTAAAGCTGGCGGTTCGAATCCAGCCCGGTCTGCCAAACAAAAATGATGGCTGCAACCAAAAAAAAAAAAAAAAA